CCCCACGGGAGAGGTAGGAACTGCCCCTTCCAGTGGTGGAGAAAATAGGCTGAGGTTCCTGAACGCAGCTCCCGCTCCAGACCCACCACAGAGCCTCACCGAGGAGGGAGGGAGCATCCCAGTGGGTTTCATGGGCTCAGGGGTTGAAGATGTGAAAAGGAAGGTCCAGGAGAGAAGGGCATGGCTCTCCAAGGCGCGTCATGTCTTGTCAGTCACACTCACCCGACGCTCCAATCTCAGGAGAGGCAGATGATAAGGTCAGAACCCAGCCCTGCATGTCTACCCCAGATCTACGGTTAGCTTACCATGGGGCTGGTGGAGAAAGCACTGGGTGACCCGACTCTACACTTGGCTTCACTGGTCCCCTGGATGACTCGCAGAGGACTGAGGGGCCCCTCTGGCATACCTGTGAGCAGAGCAGGGAGAGGAGGCACAGGGGAGGTGAGGCAGGGCTATGGCGTTTCAGTACCTTGACTGTCTCTCTTCCCATCTAGCAAAGAGCCCTCAAAAACAGAGTCACCAACCGATGTCTGGAGATAAAGAAGAGCAATTTGGGTTTCTATATGCCTGTGCTCCAGACCTGTACCACACAAGTGTGGACAATCCAGCATACCGTCCGAGGCTGGGGGGCCAACTAGCATCCCGTGATCCTCAGAGAGCCTGCATTTGGGACATCAGTTCTTGCCACTGAATGGTTTCTACTCCCAGTGCTATTCAGAGCGCAAGCATGTGTGAGGAAGAAAAGGTGCGTGTGTTTTTCGGTGACTTCAGCCTGTGACACAGGATGCAGGGAGGTGAGGCCTGTGCACGTGTCCGGGAGCCCTGGCCGGGAAGAGTAAGGAAACCACAGTGCCTCGCCCCAGCCTCCCTTGGAACGATACATATCAAATGCCATTCTTGGAAACTCCTTGAAATAGCCACCATCATCTGGCTGTCATGTGGGGGAGAGAACCAGGAGGGTGGAAGATATCTTTGACTTCTGCCAACGCTGTTTAGTCTTCATTCCTGACAACTGCTGCCACCATCTGCCCCACACCTCCTCCCAGCTCATCTGCTCAGACTCCCTACTGCCTCGGGGCAGCCACACTGGAGAGGCCGGGTCATCATCGGGCAGCAGGGAGACAACTATTTCGGTGCCGCCAATTCTCTGAAGCTGTGTTGCTGCTCCTATTCTGTTTTCTGGGATGTCCTGAAAGATACAACAAATAGATAAGTAATCTTAAAAATTCCTCCAGTTGTCCACTCACAGCAGTTTTATTTGGATTACCCAGTCTCTCCTGTATCAACTAGGTTCCAGAGGCTGAGAGTAGGAGTTGCCTTAGCTAATCACAGCTCTGGACAGTGCAGAGAGAATGTTAGAAACATCTAAGCTATCTGGATCTTTCTCCAAGTAGCTCATAATATTTTTGTTGTCAATCCTCACCTGAGGATCTTTTTTCCATTGCTTTTCAGAGAGAGTAAAAGGGAGTTGGGGGCAGAGAGAGTATGTATCCAATAAAAAAACAGATGAAAGACACAATAGCTTTTTTTTTTTTAATATCTTTATTGATGTGAGAGAGACACATCGATTGGTTGCCTCTGCATGCACCCTGAGCAGGGCTGGGGATCCAACCTGAAACCCTGGTACATGCCCTTGACCAGGAATTGAACCAGCAACCCTTCAGTGTGCGGGCTGATGCTCTAAACACTGAGAACACCAGCTAGGGTGAGCTCATAATATGTAATAGACTTGATTACCCATTTCCTTCCACAATCTGTAAATTACGGGGAAAGGCTTGAAACAGAGGGGGATCACTTATTAGGACACAAAGGAAAGATTGTAGGAAAAACCTGAAACCCAGGCTCTTAACTGCCATCCACTGGGTAAGTCCTTTCCGCTAGCTGGTGAGGTGGGAAGACATGTCCTGGGCAGCCAGTTTTGGGTAGGTCTTAGAGGATGGGACTGGGCACCATGGTGAGAGGGGAGGTAGAATGAACCTGTGTGTTGTGTTGTGTTGTGGGCTCAGCTTTCAAGTAGGATCTTACAGAGACTCTTCTTCAGAGGGTCTTTTCCCCTTTGTCTCACATCAAAGCTACTTGGGCCTGATACTGGTTATCATTAGGCTTCCTTTAGGCAATTAGCAAGCAGGACACTGTTAATTTAGCACAGAATTAAACCGGTTAAAAGTTTTTAAAATAAGCTTTTAGAAGTGTAAAGTCATAAGTGTATCGCTTGATAAAATTTTTACAGTGAGCACCGTATCAAAAACTAAGACATTGCCATAGATAATGTTTTATTATGAAAAAATTACAGAACAGGATAAATGCTAAGCAAATGTATAACTTCTAGCTTCTCCTTACCAAACTGAAGGGAAAATGCAAGTCATAGCAAAATTTTTTAAAAAGTATGTATCCAATAAAAAAACAGATAAAAGACACAATAGCTTTTTTTTTTTTTTTTTTTTTTTTTTTAAAGTAAAAA